CGCGCCCCAACTCCCCAATCGGCCCTGCTCTGAGCCCAACCAGGGGCTGCACCTAGGGATTGGGCCTGCCCTCTGCCACCCAGGAGCGGACCTAAGCCAGCAGGTCATTATCTCCCAATGTGTCCCAGACTGCGAGAGGGCACAGGCCGGGCTGAGGGACCCTCTCTCCCCCGCAAGTCCACAAATTTTTGTGCACTGGACCTCTAGTTGAACTATAAGATGAAAACTAGTGTGCTATCAAAATTCTTTTTTTTTCCCTATTGGCCTTTTTTAAGGAGAGAGAGATTATAACCCATAGAATAAAGCAAGTATTCTGTGAATAAATAAATGAGAAAGTTCTTCCTCACTATAGAGTACAACTAATAAATATAGACAGAATGATTGAATTAGAAAATCATCATTGGCAACATCACAATCAGTGGATGCTTAAAATAGTAGGTGAAAGTTTGATGGTATTTACTTACCTCACAGTATTTCCCCACAACTTACTAAATAATTACGAAGGGAAAAATATAGGTTTTACAATGGAAAGAAAAAACTGCAGATACCATCTTAACTAAGTGGTTAAGTTATCGTCATCAGGAATGGAATTAACAGTTCAGTACATCACATCAGGAAACACATGAATAACACATATCATTTTGTGGTATTCCTGCCACTCTAGTCAGGAGGAAACAGATATACCAGGATTGAGACATTCTGCAAAATAAATGATTTATATTAAAAAAATATCAAGGTCATTAAAGAAGGACAAAGACTGTTCCTGCTTGAAGGAGACTAAACAGACATACCTAAATATAGTGTTTCATCCTGGATAGGACTCTGGACTACAAAATGTTTTTCTTTCGTTATAAAGGACCTTAGTGAGACAGTTGGCAGAATAAGGTCTTAGGTAAATTAATTGTGTTATATTATTAATTTCTTGATTTTGGTCATCGTTTTGTGGTTTTATAAGGAAATGTCCTTTTTTAAGGACACAAATATTTAATAGAAAAGAAGGCATCTATAAGTGTATAAATATTTCAAAATTAGTTTTAAAGAAGAAAAAAGAATTTAGGTGAAATGATACAAAAGTTTGGATGTGACATTGCATGGTAGGCAATGCAATATTGTCAAAAGTTTTCAACCCTTACATAGAACCCTTACAAATTCTCATTACAGTATGCATAATTCTTCCATACATCTGGATATTTGGTTATACCAAAAATACATGTATTCAGAAAATGTGAACATATTTGCAGACCACAGTTTATGGGGTCATATATTTGAAAATGTATATTTATAAATATCTATATATATAAAAGCCCAGCAACCTGAATGACTAGTCACTATGATGCACACTGCAGTGGCCAACTGGCCTGATTGGGGTCCCAATCGGCCCCCT